ATTTTTGAGAGAATAGAAAATTATTATAAAAATTTAATGAATTTACTATGCCATCAATTACAATATAATTTTAAATAGTTTTTAGTTAAATAACATTTTTTCTTTTTAATAAATAGGTTTTTTAAGTTACAATTCACAATGATTCAATTTATATTATAGTTAAAATTACTACATTAAGATGGAGTTATAAATAATAAGTTGGTATAAACACTCTTGAAACGGATTCTCTCACTGAATGGTATTATTATTATTATGGGTAATTAGTCAAATAATTTTAATTATCATTTATTTCTTTTTTACATATAATATAAATATAACATGCATTTTCTATTAAGAACTGTTAAAATTACATTAAGGTGAGTTAAAATCTTCTATTGAATTAAAACATAAAGTTATTTTTAACAATTTTTTCTTATTTTGTAAATAAAATCCTACAAATTCCTCGTGAACATTTTTGGAACCAAATTCTTTAAAACCAAAATAATTGTGTATACATTTACACAATAATTTTAAGCACAAGTACAAATAATAATTTTTAAATTTCCATAATATCATAAAAGAGTGATAATTAACTTCTATAATATAATGATAAAAAAAATTTGTTAAATAAATAGTGTCCTGTATTTCATATGTAATTTCAAAAAAATTAAATTTATGTAATTTTAAAATGTAAAAGTTGTGTCATTATTGTTTTTACTATATATGCACACGAGTCACGTTCAATAATTAAGTATACATATAAAAGAATAAGTCACGTTCCAAAAATTGCACAATTAAAATTCTTATTACAAAATTTAGTAACATCAATATAAAATTTAATTAAAATGCATAATATTAGCGCATCTTATAATCTTTTTTATTAGTCTTTTGAAATAAAATTGCACCCAATTTAAATTTAATTATATTTACTTTAAATTTTAAAGGTAAATTTTTGTAGTTTTGTAGTTTGTTCAATTTTAGATTTGATAAATTGAACTGATCTCCAGCTTCCTCAAATTAGAATTTCAAAAGTTATCAATCAATTTATTTGATGAAGTTATCAAATGGTAATGACTTCATATTTTAGCATAACTTTTAAGAAATAGATTATAACTTTTTGTTCACCTTGTTGAAGGTCATTCACCTATGCAATTGCAATAGACTTGCGTACTTATGCATGTAGCCCCAAAATATATTTTGAACTCATACAGTACATAGAAGTATACATGGAATTTTTTTTAAAGATTGCTGTAGGGTACATGTGCACTTAAACTATACAATACTGGAAAAACAAAAAGGATGACAAAAAAAAACCAAAATATTTATATAAATTTTATTTGTTGTGACGATCACTTTGCAAAAGAGCGTGCATGTATGTATGTATATTTGCGTATATTTTTTTTTTTGTTAAAACTAGAAAACAAATAAAAAATAAAATTTTCTTTACTCTCTAAAATTTATTCTAAAAATAATTTTGAAATGTCAAGATCACAAATTTCTTTTATTATATGTAAAGTATATTTTTCCGTAAAACAAGCCAAAATATATGAGAAGTTAATTAAGACAAAAGAAATTGGTCATGATGGCATGTACGTGTGTTCATATTATTTTTTATAAATTTTCCTTTTCTAAAACCTGCTACATATATATTTATTTGATTTTATTTATGTACGTATTTGTAAATGTATTTTCTAAAACAAAAGGCTAACAAATGAAAATAATGAAAATTGTAGAAGTTGCGCATAAAATGTCTGAATATTAATTTTGCATTGTTTTAAATAATTTGTAGTTTTCTTTAACTACAACATTTTTTGTGTCATGACAATAGACGTACTTACATTTCTGCTGAACGTATGAAATTTTGATATACTATTCATATGTCTATTGTCACCAGCATCTCATATTATTGAGACCTCATATAAATGAAAATTTTGTATAATATTAATCTTCTCACCATTCCTTATATAACAGCAATATCAATGTAAGTTCTCTTTTAACATTTAACAGTTAAATCAAATGAAATTTACAATTGTGTTATGTGCTTTCTATGAATCTCGCTATAGCTTGTATTATAGAATATAAATTTGACAAGAATATTTTATAATTAATTTTATATTTACCTATACATATCTATTATATTAAGAATTATATTGTAATGATAAATTATGTACATACATATGGTATATGCAAACCATATATGATTTGTAATCACTGTTAAGTCTCGTGAATTATTAAAATTCTTTAAAAATTACAAATTTTGAGATATACCGCAATATTATTATTTAAATATTAAATTTAAAATAAAAGTGAAATATTTTTAAAATTCCAACACCTTATCAATTTTAGATTTTTGAGTGATGTCTGATTAAATGAAATATTTATAAACAAAACAATATAATGTATGTACATTCAAATATAAATATTATTTATATATTTTTGGAAAATAGCCAAAACAATTATTGTTATTTTTTTCTGAAACAAGTGTTTTAAATATAAAAGTGTTTATACATACATATATAGTGTAATCAATAATGTTTCTGTCTACTCATTTTAAGTATGGTGTGATATAATTGACCCAATATCACGTTATTTATTTATATTAATATTCACCTGATATCACGTTATATCTTATTTATATTCTTAAGTGGGTCGTGATAAAATATTGTCTACAGAAAATATATAAAAATGTTAAAATATTATAGCCCTTAAATGCACAAGCCCGTAGTTCTCATTGATATAACTAAAAACTTATGAGAGCGATTTTTTCATAAATTGTTTTAAAATACAGAATGAAAATTGCATTAGAAAAAATCGAAATTTATAATTATTTTAAAATTATATTAATTTTTTTTTAGTACCTTTGTATTCCTTTACTAATATATGAGATTCCTATATTGTCTACTTATAAGTAATTGTCTAGTCAATAATTAAATTTTAATAAATTCGAATTAATTTAATACCTAATATAATATGGAATACATGTCTTTGGTGTCATGATAGGTAATATTTAAGCTTCTTCTAATTAATTATAGTTAACTACAAATTTCTCTGGACCAATCAATGCTATAAAGGCAAATTTTATTGCAATTAATTAAGCTTAAATGTTAACTTCAAAATGTTATTAGTAAATTTTGAATTAATGCGGTAAGAAAAGTAGTATCCACAATAAAATTAAAAAATACCACATAATATATTTAGTTCTAACCACAAGTCCTAACATCTGTAAATATTGGGCACACATATTTTAAAATTGAACAAATATATTTTGACGATAAGAGAACGAAAATCAGTTAAGATCATTAATTATTCATATTGTATAGATTATCATTTTTAGAATTTGACTGAAAAAGCTCAAATCTATATTGTTTATTTAAGATCAAAAAAATCTTGAAGGTTTAATAAAAAAAAAAACTATGAAACTAATGATATTATATTAATTACAATATGTGTATAACAGAAAAAACAGTTTGTTATTGCAACATAATGTTAAATAATAACTGTATACCATTTTACAAAAAAATAGTTAAAATTCAGATTTAGTCACGTAAGTATTAATTTATTTAGTATAGCATATATATCATATATATATAGCATATATATGTATATGATATGAACATAAACAAAAATCGTTACCTAAATACTTATGAGTCCTCATACTTATAAGGTTTTATAGGTTTAACATATAAATAAAAGTATTTTTAATTATATAAATCTAAGATTGTTATTTACTTAAATATATTATTTTATATTGCTCAATGAAAATATAGTCGACCATATTCCGAATTAACTTGTATTTTTTACAAATTTCAGCGGTTTATAAGCTAGGCGCACTAAAATAGTTCTCTTATTATTATAAAATTTTGCATAAATTTCGGAGAAGATTTAAAGTTGTGATTTTAACACATTTATAACAGTATGTATAAAATTAAATTTGTTGATTAATAAATTTAATTCAAGGAATTAAATAAGTACATACATATATATAAGACTTTTAGAGATAATAAATTGCACGGAGATACCTACCTAGAAAGTTCTAACGAAATAATGATTACGTCGATTATTAACTTTCAATATCTGAAACTAATTAGTATCTGTGTATGACAAAAATTAGGCAGATCTCCTCTACAATCTGACATTTATAATATTCACAAATTCTTATTGAATTGGATACATCATATTTTTTCAATAAAATTCCTTATTATCAAAAATGTGTGAATAAGAAATAACAATGTGAAAGTTTAATTTATATACAAATTACATATATTTCTTAAAAATGGAAGATACCTATGAAACAAACTGTTCTTCAGCTTCAAAAATGCATCTATATTTTGTGTATTTCAATAAGTTTTTAATCATATTTTCTATTAAAATAATTTAATAGAAAATATGATTAAAAATTAATTTAATTTAATAAATTTAAATAAAAACAATTTGTTCACAGAAAACTAACATCAAAGATTTAATTTATAATACTGAATATTTTTTGCTAAGATATTTGAACTTACGATATTCGCTGTTAATTTATTAGTACCTCTTAACCAAAACCTTTGCTGTTGATATAAGTATTTAGGTAGGTACCTATACCATAGACTCCTATAATGTACTACATCTTTATATTATAGACTCCTATAATATAAAGATGCCTGTGCCTATATCTACCACACATTCAAAGCTTAAAGCTGTTTTTCTATGTGTTGAAGATCATATATCGCATATCATATTTTATATTCAGGTTTAACAGTAAGTTGTTCTAAGCTTTAACGTAACTCAAATGATGGCATGGTAGAAGGCATTTATAAAAAAGAATAATAAAAAACAAAAAGTTTATAAAATCGTGTTGACCTGTGTAGGTTTCTCTTATTTTTATATTTTTTCTATTATTATTATTAAGTGAAGTACATACATATGTTATTTAATTTCAGATTGAACTAAAAATGACATTTAAAATAAGAAAGAAATTTAAATTTTTATTTATTATTTTAATTCCTTTAATTATATTAATAGTCATCATTGTAAATGCAATGAAAGTTGGAAATATTAATAGTGAATATCAAGACAAATATATTACAGTTCGTTTAATTCAAGATGTTACTGATGATGATCTAAATTCAGCTAATATTGAACCAAGTCATTTAGTTAATTTAAAAAATTTTAAATATATAATTAATAATAATATTTGCACACAAATGAATGGAGAATTATTAGGTTTGTTTGTTTCAAGAACTAAAAAATAAATATTAAAAGTAGGCTAACTGTTGATAAATATTTTTGATTAGATTGGATTGAAATTTTCTATTTTTTGTAAACTATGTATGAATGTGTATATAGCATGTAATTATGTGCTTTATTGTGTACATAAATAAATATAATATATAGAATTTTAAAAAGTAGTCTAAGATCTAACTTTATACTCATCCTATGTAGCATAATTTGTAAACCTACTTTGAAATATTTTCTTTATTCAATGGGTCTTTCATGTACATATTACATACATATATATTGCCGTTTAAAAGTTGTTGTACTCGTAATTATGTACAAACTTATCTAGGCACCCTATAATGTCGGTAAAAAAGAATATATTTAAGTGGTATCTTAGAACTCGTATCTTAGTGGTCAGTTGATAAATTATGAATACATAACATACATACTTCTAATTTTGTTTATATAGTATATTATGTGCGTAGGTGCATGTAAGCATGTATAGTAATGTATATATTATATATAACATAATTTTAATATATTTTAAATATTGTGCACATATTTAAAATTTTTTAATTTTTATTTTAGGTATAATTTTAGTTACTTCCTATATTGGACATGATCAGTTAAGAGCAGCTCATCGTCAAGCTATATCTCAAGATCAGCTTAAAGAGTTTGGTTTTTTAAGAGTATTTCTTTTAGCAGAAATTCCAAAAAATGAAAAATTTATAAGCCAAGAGCAAGTAATTGATGAACAATTAAGGTTCAATGATCTCATTCAAGGAAACTTTAATGAAGCATATCGTAATTTAACTTACAAACATTTAATGGGATTAAAATGGGTATTAGAAAGGTGTAATAATGCAAAGTTTATAATTAAAGTTGATGATGATATTGTTTTTGATATTTATTATATAAATAAATTTTTAAGATATTTTCATCCAGTTGATAAATATTATATTGCTGGATATGTTCTATCAAATCAAAAAACTATAAGAAACCAAGGTAGTAAATGGTATGTTTCAAAAGAAGAATATTTTTATAACTTTTATCCAGATTATTTATCTGGATGGCTTTATATAACAAATCAACAAACATGTAAGAAACTTGTTCTTAAAAGTCAGAATGAAAATTTTTTTTGGATTGATGACATATTCGTTACTGGTATTTTGAGAAATAAATTAAATATTGCACTTATTAAATTTAATGATTGGTATTCAGCCAATTCACAATTTTTAGAGTGCTGTTTAAAAGATTCAATTAATTTTTTTTATGAATGTGAATATTTTGTGGGTCCAAATGGTGGTGATACTAAATTGATAATCAATTTTTTACAACAGATAAAAAAATGTTACTTAAAGTTAAAATTATGTAAAACGCGTCCAGAAAATAAGTCATTAAAAAAAACGTGTGTAGCTGAAGCGAAAAATTTACTAGAAAGAGATCATGGAGAACCATTCATTCGTTCCTTGAGACTTTGAACTTGTATTTGAAATTCCAGCACCAAAACTTTTAGATGTAATTTTTAATAATTTTAAGACATTACTTTTTTTATTATTTTTTTTGATGTTAATAAATTTTCAACAAAAATGTAATGTATCATATTCATGCAATGAATAATGAATTTTGAAATTCAATTGAGTAAAATTTAGTAATCGAACAATTCTATAAATATTGACAGGATTGGAAAACCTTGATATTTTAATTCTAAGATTGAAATAAAATGTATACATTACATAAGCAAGGTAATCTAAAAAAATTTTTTAAATTAATTTAGAATTTAGTCACTTAGATGTGTGTGTACATATATGTATATTATACAGAAATCATCCTCTTTTAAATTGATAAACTTAATATGTATTTCTAACAGCTATCGATAATTTTGTATCCTTAAGTAATAAAAATTTTTAACCGTTCTTGTTTAAATTATTTATTGTAAAAATTAAATTCTGTATATTGATTTTATACAAGAAAAATTAATTTTTGTTTGAATCGATGAAAAAGTATACAAAATTTAAATTTGTTAAATATATTACTTTGTTTGCTTTGTTTTTTGGTAAATTTAAATTGAAACAAATTTAAAAAAATTTTTCCAACCATTATTATTCTATCAATGAAGTCTTTCCTAAAAAATTAATACTTTTTCTTTTTTTCGTTTCATTTGTAGCAACAACAGCAAAATACAGAGAGAATATCAAATTAATGTTGTTTTAATTTCCATAGATCATAAAATGAAATATAAACTTTTAATTTTCATAATTACAGCATAGCCAAGTTTTATCAGTCGTCATTAATCTGTTGGATCCCTGGAATTTAAAGTAAACAAAATTCAAATAAACAAACGATTTTTATTACAATATATGTACATACATATATGTTGTTTATCAGGCGAAAGTAATAATTGACTTACCCAGAATATGATGATTTAGAATGTTGACCGGAAATCATTATATCTTCATCTTGATTACCAATTGACTTTTTAACAAACTATACAAAATCAGAATTATTTTATTTGTTTAAATAAAATAGTATACTTAATTTACCATTGGATTTAACATAATATCCTCTTCCATTTTATTAATTTGTTTGTTTAATTCCATGACGCGACTCATATCCTCTTGAATTTTAAGGAACATTTCCGGAGAACAATATTTTTCAGGGTCATCTTTAAATATTACCATGCCGTCTTTTTGGTTGATTGAAGCAAAAATTTCTCCAGATTTTATCTAAAATTTAAAATTATTATATTATAGCAATAAGAATATTCAGATTATTTTGATCTTAAATCAATTAATTTCAAAATATAAAAAAGTATTCATAAATTATTACCATATTCAAAATATATTTTTCTGCTTCCACAGCACTAGATAACTGAACCCTACTTGCTACATCTGCTAATGATAATGTTAAAAATGTTTTTGTCAATCGTTGAATATTCTTTTTATACAAGGATTGTGCGACCTTTAATTGTAATAAGTTTTTATGAAGCAAATGTTTGTGATGTGTATTTTAAACATAATCGATACTCACTTGTTTGACAAGTCCTAAATTAATGTCTCTACTATATAAATCTCTATATTTGTTTATTACATTTCGAACTTCGTCACTTGAAGAAGTCGCATATGCATTTCCTAATTCATAATATGCTTGACTTAATGGTTTCATAAATCTTGAAATATGCGAATATTTGGGTATATTAATGACCTAAAAAGTATTTTTTATATTAAGTTTGAAAATAAATTTTAAAAGCACTTTACTTTGCCATGCAAGATTAAAGAAACAAGAATAAACTTTTTGTAAGCTTCCAACATAATGCAAGACATAACCATTGCTGGGGTTGAAATAGCTACTTCAAAGAAATATAATGCTCTGTCATAATTTTTAATAGCAGTATAAATCATTCCGCCGTAATAATAATATAAAAGAAAATATTTTGAATCAACATGAACATCCTGCGAGATATTAAATATATAATTAATAATTTATTGTGCATTTACTAAGGCGTCTTACATCAGTTGTAGCTATCGCTGTAATATCGACATCTAGAAATCTTAAAACTGTATTGAAACATTTTGCTTTTAAACTGACCAAGCATAAGTCTGCATGAACGGAAGTTAATTGCGTTTCGTGCAAGCGGACTTTCTCAATAGCGGTTGATAAAATTTTTATAGCTTGTATTACATTTGGTTGTGTTACCATATAGCTAGTGAAAACATGACAAAGCTCAAAATCTGAAATAATGTTATTTCATTTATTTATTCAACAAGATTCAAATATTTAGCATTAATGTTTTCTTACAAGTTTGTGCCGCATAACGTATTTGCTCTCCGTTGCAAAGATTTATAAAATCTTTGACAGATTTCACGATATTCCCAGAGTCAGCATTTGATTTCTTAAACAAAATTATTTGAATTAAAAATATATTACATATGTTTGAAATTACTTACAACAATATTAACCAATTTTGCTAGCAGAACATAGAGAACACCAAGAGAATGTTGTTGTATATCTAGAGTTTCTAATACATTATCCAAAATGTTATAATTTTTGGTTAAAAGTTCTAGTGATTCGTTCAAATATTCTGCTAACTCTCTAAAGTTGTCTATAATTTTTTAAATAATGAAAAAAGCCAATAAAATATTTTTTTAGTTATTTTTATGAGGTTAAGTATTTTTCTTTTCACAAGATGATCTTTTGTATAAAAAACTCTTACCAGAAGAACTAAAGTTTCGTACATGGTTAACATAATTTTCTAAGGCCGATGCCATAATTTTTTGATCTTTTTATATCTTGAAGAATTATTTATAATAATGTAAATTAAAAGCTCCGCATCACTTTTACCTTTAGATCTTTAAAAAAAAAATATTTGACATAACTTTGACATTGAGAGTAGTTTACGGATTTTCTTTATTGTTGTGTCAACCGGATAAAAAAAAGATAAATGACAGTCAAAAAGACAGTTTAGTAATCATCAAATTTATGTTTGAATAGCTCTATTGAGTTGAGTTGGTTTTGGTTTAAGGCTCGCGAGTCGAGTTGTCGCAGAAACATAAAATAACATAACGAAACAGCATAATTATGAAGTTTATTACTTTTTATAAAGGTATATGTTTATATACAATAAAACATATAGAGAATCCCTTTAATAATTAAATAAATATAAATTATAAAGTTTCATCACGAAACAAAAATTAAAAAATAATTTAGTTGAATTTTAATTCCTGACAACCAGCTGATTCTTCATACAATCAATTTATGAAGCATTCTCAAATCTCAACAACATAACAAAATTACAAAAATAAATTTCACTCAAAAGTACAGATTCAAACAAATGAAATAAGTGTCGAATAATAAGTATCGAGGCAATTTTTAAAACAATTTGGTTAAATGAAAATTATCACCTCAATTTATTAAATATTTAGTATGGTGTTTTCAATAGTATGTGTAATATGTCGTTTGTTACTTTTATACATATTTTTACAAAAAGTTATCTTGGAGTCGCTAGGTGTCTTGCTAGTGACAGTTAAGTAGGAATTTCAATAAGGGTGTGAATTTTGCACAGCCCTTCTTCTTGCCCAGTTAACAATCAAGATGACGTTTATAAATTGTGTTTGTCATTTCACTTTGCCTTATTTTTGACAATTTCTAGGCGAGTTAAAATTTGGTTGTCGAAAAAGGCTTTAATTTAAATATTTTAATACAATGAGTGAAGCAAAGCAACTGGATAATGGAGAAGCAAGCGATAATGAGGTTAATGTAACTAAATCATCAAATAAGAAAAATAAAAAAAAAAACAAAAATAAGAATAAGAGTAAGTATAATGTGTATATACTGCAGACAAAGTGTTTTTGAAGTTTAATGAAAAATTAAAAGTAAATTTGGAATTTTAATTACACACTAATAATGCGATTACACATACTTTAATTATTAATTGGTCACGCACACTTACCTTTTTATTTACAGATGAGAAACTAACGACTACAAAAGGCAATGATATAACAAAATCTTTGGAAAATTCATCATCGACATCGAATACTGCTTTATCACCGAGTGCCGAAAAACTTCCCGAAGAAATAAATGAGAGCGTTAAGGGTAAAAAAAATCAATAAATTTTTGTTTGTATTTTTTTTAATATAAATATAATTACAGGTTTGCTTGAGAATTTAAGCTTAGACCAACGATTTTTTCGTGAAAATTTGACAAAAAAATTTGCTTTCTGGTCTACCCAACCTGTACCTAAGTTAAATGAAGAAGTGTCAACTAATGAATCTATTGAGCCTGATAAGGAGGTGTCTGAAATTCGATCAACACCTTACACGTTACCCAGCGGATTTACGTGGGATACATTGGATTTGAATGATTCAACCATTCTTACGGAGCTATACACATTGTTGAATGAAAATTATGTTGAAGATGATGATTCTATGTTTCGGTTTGATTATCAACCAGAATTCTTAAAATGGTGCTTGCAGCCACCCGGTTGGAAACAAGATTGGCATGTAGGTGTAAGGGTCGTGAAATCTGGTCGTTTAGTTGGCTTTATATCAGCAATTCCTAGTCGCTTGAGGTGTTATGAAAAAGTCCTAAAAATTGTCGAAATAAATTTTTTATGCGTTCATAAGAAATTGCGGAGCAAACGTGTTGCTCCCGTCTTAATTAGAGAAATCACACGACGTGTGAATTTAACTGGAATATTTCAGGCGGCATATACAGCTGGTGTTGTTTTACCTAAACCAATATCTACTTGTCGGTATTGGCATCGATCTTTAAATCCGAAAAAATTAATAGATGTAATATATTTAACATGTCTTACTTGAACTGTACGATAAAGCTTTATTTTTTAGGTGAAATTTTCTCATCTGTCACGTAATATGACAATGCAGCGTACAATAAAATTGTATAAATTACCAGAACAACCGAAGACAAGAGGTTTCCGAAAAATCGAACAAAAAGACATGAAAAAAGCCCAGAAATTATTAGAAGATTATTTAAAAAAATTCAAATTAACACCTGTTTTTTCGCCTGAGGAATTTAAGCATTGGTTCACACCACAAGAGGGTATTATAGATTGCTTTGTTGTTGAGAATGAAAAAGGTGAAATAACTGATATGGTTAGTTACTACAGCTTACCATCAACAGTAATGCATCATCCTGTCCACAAACAAGTTAAAGCTGCATACTCTTTTTATAATGTTTCGTCTGGAACACCTTGGTTAGAATTAATGAATGATGCTTTAATTTCAGCTAAAAATATTCAAATGGATGTTTTTAATGCACTTGATTTAATGGAAAATAAAGAATATTTAATGCAATTAAAATTTGGTACTGGTGATGGAAATTTACAATATTATTTGTACAATTGGAAATGCCCTAGTATGAAGCCTGAGGATGTAGCTTTAATACTTATGTAGTTCGGAAATTGAACTAAAAATGCAATACAATACTTTGTATTTTGCATTTTAGTTACTTGCAGTAGAAAATGATTTAAATATGAAAATTAATTGGATGTTACTCAAATTGTATTTTTACAATTGAGCTTCACTATGTGATGTCTAAAATAAAATTATATCTGACACAAGCATAGTAAGATATTTCGCACTAGGGGTACTATTAGCTTCTTTAAAGTCAAATTAAAAACAAAACAGCATTACTGTAAATTTTGAAATAAATGTAGAAGAACATAAATAATATTGAATTTAAACCTAAATATAGATTTAAACAAAACACAAATAAAATGAAAACAATAACAAAAATCAAACATAAAATTTTGCTTTTGCTTTTTAGGGATTGTTTTTTATTCCTATGATGTTTTACATTGAATATAAACTTGTTTAGTTGTTTTATCTACATATATAGAATATTTTGAAGGTAAAATATTACAAATAAAATTTTTATATATTACATGTACGTTTTTTTTTCTTATCTTCATTGATGGATAAATAAGCAAATTATACAAGTGCATTTAAATAAAATTTATTAAAAAAAATTTCATTTAAAATGCACTATGTACGTTTATAATTTTTTCGAACCTAAAATAATGAAGCTAACATAATCGGCTATGTGGCACTCCATTATATATTATATAAAATAAATTTTTTATACGTGCATTCATATTTGTTTGTTGTAAATCACTTTATTTTTCTAATAAACTATAATAAATTTATTTTTTTTAGATTTTGTTGAAATAAATGAATTTAAATAAAAAAAAAAGAGTTTTATTTCGGGAAACTTTTGAATCCAGTTTTGCGAACGAACATACGTAATCTACATAAATTTTACCATAATTCATTTACGAAATATTAAAAATAATAATTCGATTCCAAATAAGAGGGAGCTTTCTTCTAATATATTAAAAAATTTTTACATCACTATTTCAAAAAAATACATACATATCAATATTTTCTATAAGCATTTTTGAACATAATTTCTAATTTTAATTTTAAATATCTTTATCAAATGAATAATATTTTATATACGTAATTACTAAAAATTATTTTTCTCGCCTTATCTTTAAATAGGAAACACAACACGGTTGATATTATTGTTTATTCTAATTTTATTTAAATGAGAAATGTTCATGTAAATATACATGTGTATGTATCCCATAACTTGATACAAGATTATAATAAAAAAATTGGTTATTAGCATGAAATTTGTTACAGCTAAAAGTTATAGTAAATTATTCTATGAATTTCATGTGTATTTTTAAATTTAAAAATTATTTTTAAAATAAAAAAAATGATTCAATGAATATGAAGAACACATTGTAAAATTTTTGGACTAACGATAAGCAATATTCAAGGTTTCGGCAATGGGGGCTATAGATGATAATTTTCCCGTGATATTAATTAAAATTATTAATTAATCAAAGTAATTAATTTTCTTATATAGTTCTCATTATATTTAAAGTATTTATTATAAATTATAATATACAAATGTAATTTTACATTAATACAACTATTTTATATAAAAACAAACTGATTTATTGCAGGTTGAATACAAACCATCTAAAAAATTAATTGAAAATATGAAATTAAATCTAATTTTAAGGCCAACGGTGAAAATTGGAACAGGTCAAACGAAGCAGTTTTCAACTGGAATATGTATTTCCAAAAATTATTGGATTCAAGATGATGCTAAATGTTGACCATAGTCACGGGGAAGATTTTGAAGGTAAATTTGGAAAACAGTTAACATTTAATTATCTATTATTTAAGTATGTAAGTGAATTCAAAATAAAAAATATTTTTTTTTTCGAAATACATTTATACAATTTAATTTATGTATTAAAAGTAATATTATTTAAATTTTCTAAAATAAATATGTACATATAATTATATTATAAAATTTTACAAAATCACATAAGTATGTAAATTAATTTAAGTTGTTTGTATGAAGATTATGAGGAAAGCCGTATAATGTTATATAATCAGTTTTTCTAATGATGATGATGATGCAAATTAACATTGGCGTAACTTTCAGCATGTCCATGACCATGTACGTGATGACTGTGATGTCCATCATCGTGTCCGTAAACTGTAAAATATTAAATATCATAAATGTAAATTAAATACTTGTACTCAAATATAAAATTTTTTAATGTTTAGAACGATTTCCTATTTTTGGGACTTAATAAGGACTTTAATTATACTATATTATTGGATACGTGTACGAACGTATGAAAATAAAAATATGTAAATATGAACAAAGAAACATAGAATCGTATACAGAGAATAGAATTCAGAGAACAAAGTGTCTCGTTGCTTTGAAAAATGTGATATAGAAGTGATGTGAATTATACAAGTTTGTTACATATTGTTTTTTAAAATTAAAAATAATGTTAATATTAGCGCTTTTTCTAAAACGTTTTAATGTGGTTTAAAATCATTTGCTGGTACACAATTTTTAGTACATATTTAGAAAATTCATATGTACATACAAACATATGTATGTAATTGAATGCAAATTTAATCAAGGATTGAAGCAAATTTAATATTAAATTGTAATCACTAATTAAATAAATAATATATTAAAATTGGCTTGATGATATTATAAAAAAAGTTGTAGAGTAAGTAGATAGACACATTTTGTCAACTTTATGAATATTATTTAACATGCATAGTCTTAACATTTAAGTAGCCTTATTTTTATGCACTTGAAAATATTCATGTATGCATGTATATACCAATTTAGGATGTATTCAAATAATAGAAAACATTTACAAAAAAAATACATGTTATTACAAAAAAAAAAAAATTTATACAAACTTTGTGGATGTTGGGCATGTCCAACTCTTTCTACATGTGCTGTAAATCCATTATGTTTGTCTGATGTATATTTGACAATACGTTTTGTGCCATCAGGTTCATGTAATTCATATTCACCATGAACATGATCACCATCACGATGTTCCCATTGATTTTTATTATCACCGGTATGTGAATCTTTTACACCATATTCAAATTTATAAGCTGGATGTGAATAATAATCATGATGATCATCATGATGTTCATGTAAATATCCAGCTGCAGCAACAGCTATTAATCCAAAACACAATACAAATTTTAATGAACACATTTTGTTTCTTTTTTTTTAAATTAAAATTTAAAACTTTTTATATTTTTTATATTTATTAGAATTAATGTTATTAGAACTGTGGTCAATTTGCAACTGATGAATTTCACATATTGAACCACTAATTTATATAGGTACCAATAAAACTTATGCAATACCAAAAGAAAAATAAGAAGTAAAAATGAAAATAGAAAAATAAAAAAATATATTTTCATGAATTTAATTAAGTTTTTAGTGTACCTATGTATGTGGTATTTATTTAAGAAAAAAAAAAAAAAAATTCCAAAGAGAAAAATCAAAAACCCCAAATAAAATTCTTTTGTTTCTTGCACAATTTTTTTTTTTTTTTGATAATTTTAACATTTTTTTTTATATTATTCGCCATACATTCCATTTCATGCAGTTGTTTTACTTTACCTATATTTTATGTACCAACTATTTGTATGAAATGAATGCATTTCTATTGGTTGTATGTCAGTAAAACAATATTTTCAAGCAGGTGGTGATAGTAATAATCTAGACATATTCATAGAAATACATACACACACATAAAGTACAATATGTTATAATAGTTTAATTTCGTAATTTAATTCTGTTTTTTTTTTTATCTTATTCATTCAAAACTATAACGGTTCATTTGTCCATAAATGGTTTTTATAGTTCAATTCAATGTAATGAATGAAATATGGTATTAATTTGGTAGGTCTAAGTGGTGAAGTACTTATCAACCAAAAAAAGTCATATTGGTACTTACAATTGTAATAACATGGGTATGAACTTATGCTTACAAAAAAAACAAAAAATAAAAAAACGCATGAGATATTCAAGGTTGACTTAATTTGTGATCGATTCGGTATTTATAACCTGTTTGAACCTTTTTTTTGTTTTTATTGTTTTATTGCTGTGAACTTTTTAAACCTTTTTGAATGATAAGCTGTTATTTTTTTTCCTTCATACTCATTCAATTTTTTTTTTGGTAAATAAATTTTTTAAACTAATATGCATAAAAAAAATAAATTGTCAGATTTTTTTTTTTAGATTTGGCTGCAATAAATGAATTTGTAAGTATGAAAGTATAAGTAGTCACCTAAATTTGGACCAATATACATACATACACATATGTACTTGTATGTAAATTCTTAGGATATTGGTACATATGTAAATTTTGAAAGCAAATTTTTATATTGAACAAAGAAATACAGTAACGTACCTATTGTAATTGAAAAATATATTTATATTAAAGTTCTGTTTATGCAATTCATAAAATAAATTCATAAGATAAAAAATTGCTAATATATATATGTATATATTTAATTGATTAATGATAATTCAAATTAGTATTTTACAATAACTATTAGAAAAATTAATCAAATAACAATAAAGCATAGTAAATGTAAATGTAAATTTATGTATATATGTACATACATACATACAACATAACATTGTTATAATTCCGGAAGAATTTAATCCAACAAAAAATTAATTTTTTTATTATTTCATAATTATATATAGTGATTGTAGTACCATTATAAATATACATAGTTCAATTGTTATATGGATTTACTTATTTATCCTTGTTATTTGTAATTTGTTAAGTAGAACGGATCAGATGTAAAAATTTTTAGAAAATTTCAAAGCTTTATTTATATTTCTATTGTACGTAAGGAATGAGTATTAAAATAAATTGTTTGGACAACACCAAATTTCAACTGGTTGTAAGGAGCTAAATTCCTGCTAGATACAGAAGGGATTTTAACAAAATTTAATTTAAATCGATTATGTCCGAATCTAATAAATACGTGGAAAGATGCTGTAAACTTTAAAAGAAAGCATTTTTGTTTTTTATAATTTTTTTGCTTAAGTATGTTTTGAAATTTATTCATTTTATTGCATTTAGATCTCATTTGAATTTTACTGGGTAGATATTGTATAAAACGTATGTATGTATTATCTATATGTATTTTATATTTATTTTAAATAGTGCACATATTTTTTTTAAAATAATTTTTAATTGAAAACCAAATAATAAATTGCAATTGGAAATTTTTTCTTTATAAAATAACTTAAAATCAATGAACTATGGAGTTGAATTTTTTTTTATTTTAAAATCGTTTAAGCATTAAAAATATATAATTAGAATAAAAAAATTTTATAATTTTAATTATAAACTTTGACAAATTTTATGACATGTTGGACTTTAAAGTATTTTCTAAATAGCCTTATTGGTGCTAATTAAAAATCGCTCGAATAATGGATTATAACTAAAAGACTAATACAACATTTGCAAATTAAGCCGATATTGTTGGGTAGTGTTGTAGTGCTCAAATATAATTTTCTAATGAAATTATAGTTACAGGATATTAAATGCTTGTTAAAAAGACTCTGTTATTCTTTTGATCAAGTTCCCCATGCTCATGCACAATAGATCACACTTGTAATTTAAATTTATACATGTATAAATTCACGATATGTAAAACATATAAAATGAAAATAATACCTCAACATATTTAGTAAACGAAACTTCTACAATTTTGATTACGACTACTTACTACTACGTATAAAAATTATTAAAAAAATTAAAATAAAAAATTGTAGAAGAAAAAGTAAGTCTATATTTTAAAAAATTAATTTTCATGCAAAATTTTATATGTTTTTTTTATATTTTCCATTGTACCTATAATTTATTTTTCTTTTTGGCATTATGATATTAATTTGCCTTTCGAATTGTATTATGAAATTTTAAATAGATTTTTATTTAATGTATGTAGAATTAATTAAAAGTTTGATTGTTGTTATAAGAAGTTTGATTGCGAATTTCAACTACGAAAAATGGTATGACACACAGTTGGTGATAATAAGTGATGTTCAACTTATCAATTGTATTCTTAAATTTTCGAAAATTTCAAAATCACTTTTAGATTATTGTCATGCCAAAGAATTGAATTAAATTATTTACATACATACATATATACATACATAAAATTTCACGAAATTTTATTGCTCTAATTCATTGTCAAATTCATGACACAACTAGTAATAAATGAGTAGGAAGTTGTAATTAGAAAATTATTGTGAATGAATTACCTAAAGATGGCATGGTGTAACTACACCACTTAATTTATTGTCTAAAAGAATTCAATATAAATTATAGCGGGAGAGTTAATAAATATGTCAGTTTTAAACTATTCGAATTTTTTAGTTTAATTTACACTGTACTTAAATATAACAAAGAAAAAAGGAAAACAAAATCTGTTTTAAATTTTAATTTCAAATCAGTTAGAAATTTGATTAAAATTTGAAAGTGCGATATTAGTTAAGAAAAAAAAATTTTTTTTTTTATTTTGAAATTATTTTGTTAAAAAAATTATAAATTTTTGTGTCGGTGTAATGCATATTTCAATTTTCATTTTAATTGCAGTGCTTAATTTTATTGCTCTCAAGTTAAGTTTTTTCTATAAAGTAATTGGTAAAGCAAAAATCAAAAGAAATAAAGAAATTATTGTAAATGATTTTAGATTTAAATTATAGAAAAATTTCAAAATTTTGATATACATATAATAAAAATTATTAAATAATAGTGTTATAAGTGCTGTAAGTAAAAATTAATTTGTTATACGTTGACATTTCAGAAAATAAAAATTATTTTGTATGTAGTTATACTAAAGTAATGGTAGATTTATGTAAATAAAGCAACTAGACAGTGAATTAATAAAGGTAATTTTCGAAAAAATAAATAAACTGGAGCTATAGGATATTAAAGATTATATTGAATTCTTGTAGAATTCTCCTAAGATCTTTTTCGCTTTTTTCGTCAAAAATACGGAAAGTTGTTACTGTATTATATTCAATGATCGATTTGCGGGGACAAGCTTTCTCACAAAACACCAAAATTAAAATTTAATATTTTAAGGAATAGTATATATATATATTGGGCAATAATGTAAAAATAAGTCATTTCCACACGGGCTGCAGAGAAGGATAAAATCAATTTGTGCTATTTCGAATTAATATGCAAATATGGATTTTTGTATAGTGCTATTAATGTTTGATGGTGATCGACTTTAGCTATGATACCATGTAAAATTTGTTTTTTCATATTTCAACTATATATAAAGGAATAAGTTTTTATAAAACAACAGAGTTTCAATTTTTTCTTAAGCTCTTTTTATTTATTAAATTTTATAGAAATTTAAGTTGACTAATTTAATTGTTTTTTTTGCATATAGCATCACAAATATTTCATTGGTCTTTAATATGAATCTCAAAATTTGTTTCGTTTAAATTTTTCACCAACCATGACCATGTCCATAATGGTGTCCATGAACTATATTATTAAAATGATTATTTATAGATAAAATCTATTTCAATGTTATAAAGTTATACCTTCAGGATGATGAGCATGTCCAATTCTTTTTACAACAGCATTAAATCCATTATGTTTATCAGCTGTATATTCTACGAGACGTTTTGTACCATCAGCTTCATGAAGTTCATAAGCACCTACAAAGCACAAAAACAAATATATATAAAGATACTGTCAGAGAAATCTAAAACAAAATAGCGCTCATAAAAGCATATAATAGCTTATAGAAATTTACCTTTAACATGATCACCATCACGATGTTCCCATTGATTTTTATTATCACCAGTATGTGAATCTTTTACACCATATTCAAATTTATAAGATGGATGTGAATAATAATCATGATGATCATCATGTCCGTGATGACCATAATCATGTCCATGATGTTCATCATGATGATGATGGTGTGGTTCTTCGTGTTTTACAACACTAGCATAACTACTAGCATGTCCATGATGATGTCCTGCCAATGTTAAAGCTGCTAATCCAAATACTAAAAATATTGTAAGTAATTGCATTTTTAAATAAATAAAATTAAAAATTAATGTTTCTTTTAGAACTAATGATATAAGACTGATACTATTAAATCGATTTAATTGGCTTTTTATATATCTGTTTAATAGCTGAAATAATTCTACCTGAATAAATTATACGATATTTTTGCCTTTTTTAATTTAACGTATACATATCTTATTTTTGTAGTTGTATATTTAATTATATTATATATGTAGAGTAGGAGGAAATATTTGTTAAAAAATATAAGTAACAAAAATTATAATTTTTTGTTTATAATAGAGAAATATTTTTACAGATATTTTGCAAGGCTATATTGCAATACGATATACAATATACGTTAAAGAAAATAAATAAAATTATGACTATATTGATTGGATTTAAAGCATTGTATATAGTTTTTATAGTTACATATGTTTGTGTATACTTTGTATCAGAGAAATCAAAATTAGATCGTTCTACTTGATTGAATTAATTCGGTTAAGCAATCTAAAGTGGAAAATATATTAATATATATACTATATGCCGTATATTTATGTGTTAAATAAGAATTAATTAAATCTTAACAATTCATTTACATACAATTTTAAATACCAAAATTTTTACAATTGTTTAAGTTCATGAAATCAAGGAACTAGTTTTTATTATTATAATTTTTATTTAATAAATAAATTTTACCTGTATTTCGTTCTTTATGAGATTAATTAATATTTTGCTCACAGGAGCTAAGTGTGGAATATGTTCTTAAATAAACTACATCCTATTGTAATTTATTTTTTGTAATAGATTTACAAACATTTGGACATTTGAAGCTGGTACAAAGAAGTAATAAAATTGGCCAATTTTTTCCTTAGACAAATTCGAATAGTAATTTTTGTCATCAATATTTTAAATTTTGAAAACTTTCGCTGAATTTTTTTTCAGCTTAAAGTCGAACTGTTGTACATTATATTATGTTTAAACACAAAACTAACCATACTATTAAAATTTTTCTTCAGATTCTTGGGTCCTACATTAGGTCCAGACCTTCAAATATTTTCGTCCAGTTACGGAAAAACTTGAACATCTTAAAAAAATTATTTTATGATTGGGAAAGCCATCACAATTGTTCAACTTCAATCCATTTTATTCTAAGGTTTCTGGATATGCAATTGTTGAGATAAGTTGTGATATTGTATAGTCCGATAAATTTCAAAATCTCAACACCATTCTGAAAAATTTTGTAATTTTTTTTTCTCAAGTGATTTTTGTGATTTCGGTGCTTTATGGTAAAAATTCGTAACGAAAATTCGAAAACAACAATAGAATGTACTGAAAGTAACCACATAACCATATGCCTACCTTCAAAATTTTAAGTTTTTTACAATAGATTTTTCAAAACATTTTAACACCATTTTAAGTAAATACTCCATATTATTATTATTACTCGTTATTATTATTAACTTTTTCAAAAAAAAGCGATCAATAACTTCTTGCTTTTTTAATTTTATTTGTTATTAAATTATAAATTTATATTTTGATATAATTAAGATAATTTTGTTGCTGTTGTTGTTTTATTGTTGTTGTTGTTTGCTGCTGTTTGTAGCTGCATTGAATTTTCAAACTTGACAGAGATTGAAAAATATTTTCACAATTAAGGAATGTGAAACCTTTTTAAAGCAAGAAAACTGATCACATCATTCGTTCTAAGTGCTTTAGTATATATAACAACAAAATGTAAATATTTGTATCTGTGACTTATAACAGTGAAGTGAAAATTGTTTAAAAGAAAAAATTAAAGTCCTTTTATTTGCTTTATGTTTGTTTCACACGTTTTTATGTACGTAATTATTGTTAAATATACATATGTATGTATGTACATGTAGGAAGAAAAAATTTTGAAATATTACGTATTTTTCACAAATGTTTAAATAGGGCTCTTACTCTGTATCTTTTTATTTCATTTCCTCTTTTTAGCACTTTTCCAAAAATTTTTTTGAAAAAAGTGCTTATTAGTTTCACTCTGTCCGTCCACTCGTCCGTTAATCCGTCCGATCGTACGATAACTCAAAAACGAATGAGGCATATACCACCAAACTTTCACAAGTTATTTCTTTTGTGACAAAGACGGGCAAAGACGGGTGCTATTGTAATTGGACTAATTCGGACAATGGGTTCCGGTCGGGTAGCGGCCATATAACTCAAAGAGTTTTTTTTTAATATTTTAAAAACTAATAAAGATATTAATATCAAATTTTGTAAAGATGTGTCCAATTACATTTTACACAAAAATTTTAATGGGATGGCTGCACCGGTTCGGGTGACTGCCATACAACTCCAAAGCCAAATTTTACGTATTCGGAAAATTAAGAAAGTCAGATTCATGAAACTTAGCAATCGTATGTCCAATCCATAGGTCAGATGTATTTCTGAAGTTTTGGTGGAATTGCTTAACAGGTTCGGGTAGTTGCCATATAACTCCAAAAGCTAATTTTAAATTTTTGCTAATTTTAAATTTTTGGAAGATTAAAAAAACCAGATTCATGAAACGTGGCAATCGTGTTTCCACTTATAAGTCAGACATGTCCGTCAAGTTTCTATAGAATTGTTTCACAGGTTCAAGTAATTGCCATACAGCAATAAAAGGTGCAAGGTGTAATTAAATCGGTTAACACGGACTGAAACATTTTAACTTGTTATTATTTTCTTTGCATGGTCTTTTTTTTATAAAAATGTAAAAATTTTTATTTTATTATTTTGATGCATCAAATCAAAACAAACATGTTAACAGATGTACAATTTTTCAAATTACATACACTATTTATATACATATCTATATACATATATGTACAAACAAATGTGCAATTCGAACACATGGAAACATGCAAGAAAAAACAATATGTAGTTATTAATGTAATGTAGTTGAAAATGTTAAGACCTTAAAAGTATATAGTCTAGAGTTTCATCACCCACTATAAAAATAAAAATGTATTGATCAAAATTCTATAGTTTTTATATTCTTCTTAACTTTAAGTTTAGTAAAACAATCTACTATTCACGTGTTATTAGTAAAGTATTTAAAATATATGAATGAATGTTTGTGATGAAATTTAAATTTTAAGCACTCGAACTGCCGTGATTTTAAAAATTTAAGTGCTCAAAATAGAATAAATAAGACTAAAAAAAGTCGGGTCAAAAATAAATCCATTCAATATTAATGTAAATTCACATTAACTTCGAAATTAATTCGTAAGTAAAAATGAACGGTCACTGCGAATTTTTTCTGATTTAGCAAAGCGCTTCTATTATTTTATATTAAAAATAAAGTAATAATATTCTAATATTAAAAAATGTTTAAGTATTAAGGTTAAAAAATTGAAATCAATGCAGCAGAAAATTATCATTAGCCACTATTCCTGCAATTGTTTTAAGCAAAAAATTTGAAAACTTCAAAATTCTATTAAATTAGCTAATTCTGTTTATAAAAAAACAATTGAAAAAATTAATTTTCCACTCTAATATTCACACTTCTTTTAGAGTATAAATAGTTAAACTATTGGAAATTAAAATATCAGTTAATCAATAATATTCAAAGTGATTTAAATTCTAAAAAAAATATAATGCAGTTATTAAGAGTAAGCTTTATTCTTGGATTAGTTGCTTTTGTATCAGCTGGACATTATCATGGTCATGCTAGTAGTTATGCTAGTGTTGTAAAGCACGACGGACATCATCACGACGGTGATTATTATGATCATGGTCATGATGAATATTATGATCATCATTCACATCCTTCATACAAATTTGAATACGGAGTAAAAGATTCACATACTGGTGATCACAAATCTCAATGGGAACATCGTGATGGCGATCATGTTAAAGGTAATAGTTTTGTAAAGATTTCTAAAATATTTTAATTCTATTACTCTTGCACAAATAAATGCCTTTAGGAGGATATGAACTTCATGAAGCTGATGGTACAAAACGTATTGTTGAATATACAGCTGATAAACATAATGGATTTAATGCTGTCGTCAAAAGAGTTGGACATGCCCATCATGCTCATTGTAAAATTTTAAAGTATTTTCCAATTATTAAAAAGTTGATGAATTTTAATAAATTTTTAGCATACGGTTATCATGGTGGACACAGTCATGGCTGGTAATTCTAAAAAAATGGCGATACAATGAGACGATAGAAGAATTTTTTTTTACATAAGACTAAATTATATGTAGATGCACTTCTTTGTATTTAATTTTTTAACTGCACAATAGTATAGTGTAAATTAAAATGTTGATGTGAAATTCTGCAAACCAAAAATTATGAAATGAATAATAAAAAGCAGCAAAAAATTTAATTTTATAACTTTTTTTTTATATCATGAACATTTATTGGTATCGCAATATCACGAACGTTATTGGTATGGTGTTTTTATTGGTATTAACATGTTCATTAAAGTCAACTGTATTATTCAGCAGTGACAATAATCAGCCCTATCTATAGTATGAGCCTGATCTTCTATCTCGCTATTTTGCTCGCCAAATTAGAAGAAAGTGAGTAACTATCCTATATTTTGTATAATGTAATTTTCGATTAATGTATAATCTCGCTCTTTTTATACCCATACGAAAGGTATGTTCGAAGTGTATATTAAATTTTCCTTACCGTTTGTAACGCCTAGCAATAATAGTCTGATATATAGACTCAGGTGTACGTTTTTGATCAGCGTCGAATTCTGAGTTGATTTAGCTTTTCTGTCCGTCCGTTCGTTCGTCCCAACGATAATTCAAAAACTAATTGAGCTAAATTCACCAAATGTTTCCAAAACAAAGTGAGACGCTCAGTCGATAATTTGAGAAAAAACGCAAAAAAACCAATTGAAAAATGATTAATCTTTTAGAAAAAGAAATACTCATTAGAAAATAAGAGAATTCTCACTTCTGGAGTGAGATAAAATCGAGGAAAAGCGAGAGAAAAATAACTTACAGAAAAACTATGAACACTTTCAAAAGATAAATTATTTTGATTAGTTGTATTGCCAGAACAATAAAATGAAATATTAAATTGGCTTTCTTGTCGATATATCAATAAATAATGCCCAATCTCAATACCAGGATCGAAAAAATTTTAAGATTCATTTTCAATATATAATGCTTCATGTCAGAATGCTTAACATTTAAAAGTTATATTCTAATAAAATTTACTTTCAAGTCAGGATTCTCATTCGTGCAGTGCCCTTCCGAAACAAAATTATTTAACATTTTCTTCAATTGAAACTTTACGATTATGTGATACTCACTAACGTTCTTCACACCGAGCGGGCAAAAGCGTAAGATCTGACACAATGGTCACTAAAAACCACAGAGTTTAGTTGGAATTGGGTGTTGGAATTGTAGGTGTAGTCTAGCTTTTAAACGTTTTCAGTTCTAAAAAGATTTACCAATAAATATTCCGGCCAAAAACTTTGGTTACTTATTTGTAGATTTAAGATTAAGTGTTCTTCTTTAAAGAGAAGAAGTAATAATATTTTAATTAGAAAAAAAACAAAAAATATACCGAACAAGGTCAGCATTATAAAATAATGGAGTTCAGATTTTTCATCATAACACTTAGAATATTTTGTTTGCAAAACTAATTTTTTATTCATTCGACTACATATACATAATTTATTGAAGTAAATAAATAGTATCTACTTTAAAATAATTTAATAATAAATAATTACAAGTTTAGGATTCTTCTAAAATAATTTTAATTGAAATTTTATTTTTCTAATGGTGATGGGAGTCGTATAAATTTGAATTAGCCCAACTTTCAGCATGTCCATGACCATGGTTTCCTCCATGACCTTCATGATGCCCGTAAACTATAAAATTAAAAATTAAAATATCATAGAATTGTTATTTTAAATTAATAAATACTTTGTGGGTGACTGGCGTGACCTATCCTTTTCACAACAGCATTGAATCCATTATGTTTATCAGAAGTATATTCAACAACACGTTTGGTACCATCTGGTTCATGGAGTTCATATGAACCTTTAGATTATAATATTAGAATTTTAATAAAATTGTTATACAACTTAATTAAGGTGTATATATTTTGCTCATTTTTTATACCTTTGACATGATCACCATCTCGGTGTTCCCATTGATTTTTATTATCCCCAGTGTGTGAATCCTTTACACCATATTCGAATTTGTATGCAGGGTGTGAATGATGATCGTGATGATCATGGTGATCATGATGGTCTTCGTGATGATGTTGCTCGTCGTGATCATGATGTCCGTGATGTTCACTATGACCATGATGATCATGTTTTACAACGCTAGCATAACTACTGGCATGACCATGATCATACCCTGCCGAAACTAAGACTATTAATCCTAAAGTTAAAAATATTTTAAGTAATTCCATTTTTAGTCCGAATGGTACAACTGACTGTAGGCGAATGATATATCAAAATTTGCGTCGATCTTATTTATACTATTGTTTGTTTTAAAAATTTTCACTTTTTCTCTTTTTGACTTTTGCAAATAAAAATATTTCCATCAAGTTTTTAATTTTCTCTCTTATTTTTTTTTTTGTACTTGATAAGATCAAAGATCGAAAAGGTTAAACAGAAAATTTGCAAAAAAGTGGTGCAAATAAAAAAGAAAATTTGAAATCAATAAAATTGCATTAGAATGTCATTTCTTTCAACCGTGTAATGTGTTCTTTACACAAAATTCCATTAAAAAATTAAGCAATTCAAAACTTTAGAAAATTTTAATTTTGTCAATTGCCATAAGTCATAAGAAAATTTTTCTAGTGTGCAATAGCGATAAAAATTTGTTTGTAGTTTCAAACTTGCATTTTAGATTTTTAATTTTTAATTTAAGCACCAAACTAATTGTTATTTAAATTAAAGTGAACATTTTATACATTGAACGGCATTTTAAAACAGTTACTCGCATATATTTATAAGTGTATGTGCACAATCACGGAGCATAATATGAAAGTAAATTTATTTATTTGAAATTAAATAATTTATTGCTTTGCGGTTAAATTATTTATGATATTTGCGGTATTGCTTATCAAATTTATTAGGGTCAAATTTTTTTCACCACTCTACCTATTAATTTTATATAAGGTAATTGCGGCTTTCATGTACATATACTTAATTCGACTAATTGAAAATGATACAATTATTATTAAGTTACTTCCTAAATTAAAAAATAATGAAAATAATAAATAACTTAGAAAAATAATGTGAGTTAGAAGCAAAATTTTTAATTGCAATACGTGCGTTTCCTTCGTTTACACTATTCCTGTCATTTACTCCTTTATATACCCTATCGAACCTGGATATACTTTTGCACTTGACTGTAGAAAGCCGTAGTTGTGAACCGGAAAAAAATGTTTAAAATGTGTTAAAATGACAAGATAATTGATTTTCACCGTAATGTACAAGCTCTGTTCTGTGATACTGGTTGGCGAAATAATTTGTTAAAACTAATTTATTGATTAAATAATTTTTTGTTTTCTTTACCGTTCGTATTGTGTACAATAAGGCATGTGATGTGATGGAACCGAATTTCACATGTCGAGTTTTCGGCAAAAATATGTTTCATCATGCTAGGGAAACGTAAATAAACTATTTTTCGGATCAGTATCTCAAGTTCGGCTGAACCGACTTTCACGCAAAATTATATTTCAGTTTTCTTTCAATATGAAACGGTTTGATAAACTCAGACTGAACTTCAGGTTTACATTTTTTGATAACTGATTGATAGAATTTCTTGAAATTTAATATTTGAGTTCTATTTGTTACCGGAACTAGCTGTCGAACTTTTAAAGAATTCGGATGGCATGAATCACTAAAAACCAAATTTACATTTTGCTTAACTACAAGCTTGTTAGCGTGTTTGGAAGTTGTCTTCGAAGAACATTTTCATAATGTTGTGCCAAACTAGAAAATACAACTTATGTGCTGACTGACTCAATAACCCTTATGATAAGCAACTCGTTCCTTAGACTACGTCATCCATTTATTCTACAGTTGTATAAATATATTTTCTTTGTTAAATACATATAAAGCTCATGATAATGAGCGAATCTAATTAAATATAAAGAAAACTTTTTGTGCCCTAATATTCTGTTGGATATTTACGACATTTGATATAATATTTACGCTAAGCTAGGCTAAACAAAGTGTTACTGTGAAATAATTTTATGTTTGAGTATAGACTTTACGTCGTATTGAAAGGAAACTAACCCTCCACATTCACTTAAGCCATATTTATAACAGTATATTGCACAGGTACGAGTATAAATGTATAATTTCAAGTTGAAATAATAGATTTTAAATTGTTCTTTCATTATTAACTTAATTTATTTTGATTTAAGAATATTTTACATAATTTATGAAATCATTAGCTAAATAAATAAATTTTTTTCTTTATAAAAGGCGACTATGAAGAGGATTACATTTAATGATGATGGTCATATAAATTGGAATTAGCCCAGCTTTCGGCGTGTCCGTGATGACCATGATGTCCATGATCCCATCCATGACCATGATGTCCTGGAAGTAAAAAAATTGATAAGGTAATTATTTATAAACAAAAATATTTTTTTACCTTCAGGATGATCAGCGTGGCCGACTCTTTTAACAACTGCATTAAATCCATTATGTTTATCGGAAGTATATTCGACAATACGTTTTGTACCATCAGCTTCATGAAGTTCATAGGCACCTTTATGAAATAAATTTTGTCAATAATAATATTATAGTCTTAATAATTTACAGAGTATATAATTATAATTTATTTACCTTTGACATGATCACCATCACGATGTTCCCATTGATTTTTGTGATCGCCTGTATGAGAATCTTTTACACCATATTCAAATTTATAAGCTGGATGTGAATGATGATCATGATGATCATGGTGATCATGATGTTCCTCATGACCATGATGTCCGTGATGTTCATTATGACCATGATGATCATGTTTTACAACACTAGCATAACTACTAGCATGACCGTGATGGTGTCCTGCATAAGCAAGAGCTACAAGTCCTAAAGCGAAAATAATTGAAATCAATTGCATGTTTATTTCTTTCAGGTCTGTTTAAACAGGTGAACAAGCGACGAAAGAATGATACAAATGGTGTGAATTCTTTCCATTTTATACGTTTTCCAATCTTTAAATTTTTCATAATTGTTAAGCAAATAACAAAAGTTTATTGAATGTTTATTGTTATACGAGTATTTATTTTTGTTAGTATAAGAGGAAAATGTAATCGATAAAAATTTACAAATACTTTCACACAATTAAGAATTTATTTAAATTCCGGCACTAAGGTGACCATACTGTTTGAATGTTTGCATGTGTTTCATTTGTGTTATTGTGTAAATGTTTGTTCGTATTAAAGAAAAAGTGTAAGAAAAGAATTAGAAAAAAATAGAATTTCGGTTCTAAAAAATTTTTTTGTTTTTACAACAACAATGCTTTTGTTACCTTTTTGGTTCATTTTAAACACTTTCGCTTAATAAAATATTTTTGAAGGTATCATAATTTGTAATAAAGCGTGAAACAGAAAAACAAACAGAAAATAAAAATCAAAATATGCAATTTTCAAGGTAAATAAGGTCGATGTGAAAAATTAAAGAAATATCAATTTGATAACTGGGTTGCATTTTTTTTAGAGCACAACCTTTATTATGTTTAAAAAGAGCAGTTCCTGGTGCTATTTCTTCTAATGCTGTGTAATATTGCTATTGATTTATTGAGTAAAATGTGTCCAACAAGAATTTAAACGCCACAACTTCAAAAAGAAAAAGTAAAGTAAAGATCACCTCAAGCTCTACTTCTTTTAATATAGAAGTTTGAGAAGTTTAACTTCAAAGAAATAAGTTGCCGGAAATTACTTTTCAAGTTTTAACAGGCGATAGATTGAAAAAGATTTGTCATTAAGATGTAAATTTTTGTACAGTGTAACTAAAGTTAAGATTTCTTTAGCTCGTCTATTACGGTTAGTTTAAACTGGTGTTTTGATATTGTAATGTTTAACCGCCCAATTTGACGTTTGAAATAGAAAATCACTATATTTAAACTTTTGGGAAGTTAGGAAGTATTAACGGTTTCGAAAAGATAAATTTTTTAAAAGTTACATTCCTATAAAAGACTATAACCTTTAAGACAGAAAGTTGCAGTATAAAACTGAATCTCTTTATCTTAAACCGTGTAGGCGTTCAGGAAGTACACCTTGATACCGAAGGACGAACGGAGTGAATCGAATTGTATAGATAAAATAAAAAAATTTAAATTATTCAGAAACGAAATTTTTTTCTTTAATAATAAAAAATTACAAACAAATGTTTTACTTGTGAATTGTTTCTTCAGTTCAGTTCAAAGTTGGCTCTTCTATTCAATTGTTATTTCAAACTGGCTTTTCGTTAACTTTTGAAATGATTTTTCTCCTTCATTATGTGTGGGATGAATCTCAAAATTTAACAGTTTACAAATCTCGATAAGTTTCAAAAAAGATTAGCGATACACCAAAATAATTATGAATGCAAAAATAATGTACAAACATTAGTGTTCAATGTTTTACAAAAAAATTTACAAGAAAACAAAGTGGTTGGATTTTGTAATAGGTTTATAGATTTACTAATTTTTTAGTTAATTGTTCTTTAGGATATTTTCGAAAATTCGTCCAAGAACGATTATTCCTACGTTAAAAAAATTTGTTGTCTATGGTTTTTGCACAAAAAATCAAAGTTATTAATAAAATCTTGCACTTTTGACATTTAATCACTAAATTCAATAAATGTGGTGTCAGAGTTTTTAAATTTAACTAAAATTGCATATTATCTTGAGGAACATATTTTTCAGTTAATTGAATCACATGTGTCAATAATTTCAGTAAAAATTTATTTCCACTAATATTTTCTTTTATTGGTAGCTGAAAGAATACAGTATCCTTACCAGAATAGTTAATTGAGACTTCAAAGCCTTCAGCTTTGCCTTTCGTGTAAATAAAAAGTATATATTTTGAAATAGCTCATTTTTCTTTTCGAAATGCTTTATGTAAAATTTATTATAATAAACATGTAACGCCGTTTTGAAATCGTATAAGTCATTTATTGCCATATATCAATAACATTCAATTTTTTTAAACACCTTGTCTATAGTTTGCCAAAGCGAATGTAATTAGAATTTTTGAACTTCCCGTTTTTGTTTTTCTATTACTTTGAAAGCTGGATCGCTAACCATATAAGTGTGACTCGGTTCTGGAAAGTGGTGAACTACACGATCAAGCAGACAAAATTTTACAAGTGAGTTTTGCTATCAAGTCTTCAATTATAGTTTTTGATGCAAATAAACTGGTTAGCTAACGTAAAAAGAAAACAGAGAGTACTTTCATTA